GGTCCAGTCACAGTGGGTCCAGTCACAGTGGGTCCAGTCACAGTGGGTCCAGTCACAGTGGGTCCAGTCACAGTGGGTCCAGTCACAGTGGGTCCAGTCACAGTGGGTCCAGTCACAGTGGGTCCAGTCACAGTGGGTCCAGTCACAGTGGGTCCAGTCACAGTGGGTCCAGTCACAGTGGGTCCAGTCACAGTGGGTCCAGTCACAGTGGGTCCAGTCACAGTGGGTCCAGTCACAGTGGGTCCAGTCACAGTGGGTCCAGTCACAGTGGGTCCAGTCACAGTGGGTCCAGTCACAGTGGGTCCAGTCACAGTGGGTCCAGTCACAGTGGGTCCAGTCACAGTGGGTCCAGTCACAGTGGGTCCAGTCACAGTGGGTCCAGTCACAGTGGGTCCAGTCACAGTGGGTCCAGTCACAGTGGGTCCAGTCACAGTGGGTCCAGTCACAGTGGGTCCAGTCACAGTGGGTCCAGTCACAGTGGGTCCAGTCACAGTGGGTCCAGTCACAGTGGGTCCAGTCACAGTGGGTCCAGTCACAGTGGGTCCAGTCACAGTGGGTCCAGTCACAGTGGGTCCAGTCACAGTGGGTCCAGTCACAGTGGGTCCAGTCACAGTGGGTCCAGTCACAGTGGGTCCAGTCACAGTGGGTCCAGTCACAGTGGGTCCAGTCACAGTGGGTCCAGTCACAGTGGGTCCAGTCACAGTGGGTCCAGTCACAGTGGGTCCAGTCACAGTGGGTCCAGTCACAGTGGGTCCAGTCACAGTGGGTCCAGTCACAGTGGGTCCAGTCACAGTGGGTCCAGTCACAGTGGGTCCAGTCACAGTGGGTCCAGTCACAGTGGGTCCAGTCACAGTGGGTCCAGTCACAGTGGGTCCAGTCACAGTGGGTCCAGTCACAGTGGGTCCAGTCACAGTGGGTCCAGTCACAGTGGGTCCAGTCACAGTGGGTCCAGTCACAGTGGGTCCAGTCACAGTGGGTCCAGTCACAGTGGGTCCAGTCACAGTGGGTCCAGTCACAGTGGGTCCAGTCACAGTGGGTCCAGTCACAGTGGGTCCAGTCACAGTGGGTCCAGTCACAGTGGGTCCAGTCACAGTGGGTCCAGTCACAGTGGGTCCAGTCACAGTGGGTCCAGTCACAGTGGGTCCAGTCACAGTGGGTCCAGTCACAGTGGGTCCAGTCACAGTGGGTCCAGTCACAGTGGGTCCAGTCACAGTGGGTCCAGTCACAGTGGGTCCAGTCACAGTGGGTCCAGTCACAGTGGGTCCAGTCACAGTGGGTCCAGTCACAGTGGGTCCAGTCACAGTGGGTCCAGTCACAGTGGGTCCAGTCACAGTGGGTCCAGTCACAGTGGGTCCAGTCACAGTGGGTCCAGTCACAGTGGGTCCAGTCACAGTGGGTCCAGTCACAGTGGGTCCAGTCACAGTGGGTCCAGTCACAGTGGGTCCAGTCACAGTGGGTCCAGTCACAGTGGGTCCAGTCACAGTGGGTCCAGTCACAGTGGGTCCAGTCACAGTGGGTCCAGTCACAGTGGGTCCAGTCACAGTGGGTCCAGTCACAGTGGGTCCAGTCACAGTGGGTCCAGTCACAGTGGGTCCAGTCACAGTGGGTCCAGTCACAGTGGGTCCAGTCACAGTGGGTCCAGTCACAGTGGGTCCAGTCACAGTGGGTCCAGTCACAGTGGGTCCAGTCACAGTGGGTCCAGTCACAGTGGGTCCAGTCACAGTGGGTCCAGTCACAGTGGGTCCAGTCACAGTGGGTCCAGTCACAGTGGGTCCAGTCACAGTGGGTCCAGTCACAGTGGGTCCAGTCACAGTGGGTCCAGTCACAGTGGGTCCAGTCACAGTGGGTCCAGTCACAGTGGGTCCAGTCACAGTGGGTCCAGTCACAGTGGGTCCAGTCACAGTGGGTCCAGTCACAGTGGGTCCAGTCACAGTGGGTCCAGTCACAGTGGGTCCAGTCACAGTGGGTCCAGTCACAGTGGGTCCAGTCACAGTGGGTCCAGTCACAGTGGGTCCAGTCACAGTGGGTCCAGTCACAGTGGGTCCAGTCACAGTGGGTCCAGTCACAGTGGGTCCAGTCACAGTGGGTCCAGTCACAGTGGGTCCAGTCACAGTGGGTCCAGTCACAGTGGGTCCAGTCACAGTGGGTCCAGTCACAGTGGGTCCAGTCACAGTGGGTCCAGTCACAGTGGGTCCAGTCACAGTGGGTCCAGTCACAGTGGGTCCAGTCACAGTGGGTCCAGTCACAGTGGGTCCAGTCACAGTGGGTCCAGTCACAGTGGGTCCAGTCACAGTGGGTCCAGTCACAGTGGGTCCAGTCACAGTGGGTCCAGTCACAGTGGGTCCAGTCACAGTGGGTCCAGTCACAGTGGGTCCAGTCACAGTGGGTCCAGTCACAGTGGGTCCAGTCACAGTGGGTCCAGTCACAGTGGGTCCAGTCACAGTGGGTCCAGTCACAGTGGGTCCAGTCACAGTGGGTCCAGTCACAGTGGGTCCAGTCACAGTGGGTCCAGTCACAGTGGGTCCAGTCACAGTGGGTCCAGTCACAGTGGGTCCAGTCACAGTGGGTCCAGTCACAGTGGGTCCAGTCACAGTGGGTCCAGTCACAGTGGGTCCAGTCACAGTGGGTCCAGTCACAGTGGGTCCAGTCACAGTGGGTCCAGTCACAGTGGGTCCAGTCACAGTGGGTCCAGTCACAGTGGGTCCAGTCACAGTGGGTCCAGTCACAGTGGGTCCAGTCACAGTGGGTCCAGTCACAGTGGGTCCAGTCACAGTGGGTCCAGTCACAGTGGGTCCAGTCACAGTGGGTCCAGTCACAGTGGGTCCAGTCACAGTGGGTCCAGTCACAGTGGGTCCAGTCACAGTGGGTCCAGTCACAGTGGGTCCAGTCACAGTGGGTCCAGTCACAGTGGGTCCAGTCACAGTGGGTCCAGTCACAGTGGGTCCAGTCACAGTGGGTCCAGTCACAGTGGGTCCAGTCACAGTGGGTCCAGTCACAGTGGGTCCAGTCACAGTGGGTCCAGTCACAGTGGGTCCAGTCACAGTGGGTCCAGTCACAGTGGGTCCAGTCACAGTGGGTCCAGTCACAGTGGGTCCAGTCACAGTGGGTCCAGTCACAGTGGGTCCAGTCACAGTGGGTCCAGTCACAGTGGGTCCAGTCACAGTGGGTCCAGTCACAGTGGGTCCAGTCACAGTGGGTCCAGTCACAGTGGGTCCAGTCACAGTGGGTCCAGTCACAGTGGGTCCAGTCACAGTGGGTCCAGTCACAGTGGGTCCAGTCACAGTGGGTCCAGTCACAGTGGGTCCAGTCACAGTGGGTCCAGTCACAGTGGGTCCAGTCACAGTGGGTCCAGTCACAGTGGGTCCAGTCACAGTGGGTCCAGTCACAGTGGGTCCAGTCACAGTGGGTCCAGTCACAGTGGGTCCAGTCACAGTGGGTCCAGTCACAGTGGGTCCAGTCACAGTGGGTCCAGTCACAGTGGGTCCAGTCACAGTGGGTCCAGTCACAGTGGGTCCAGTCACAGTGGGTCCAGTCACAGTGGGTCCAGTCACAGTGGGTCCAGTCACAGTGGGTCCAGTCACAGTGGGTCCAGTCACAGTGGGTCCAGTCACAGTGGGTCCAGTCACAGTGGGTCCAGTCACAGTGGGTCCAGTCACAGTGGGTCCAGTCACAGTGGGTCCAGTCACAGTGGGTCCAGTCACAGTGGGTCCAGTCACAGTGGGTCCAGTCACAGTGGGTCCAGTCACAGTGGGTCCAGTCACAGTGGGTCCAGTCACAGTGGGTCCAGTCACAGTGGGTCCAGTCACAGTGGGTCCAGTCACAGTGGGTCCAGTCACAGTGGGTCCAGTCACAGTGGGTCCAGTCACAGTGGGTCCAGTCACAGTGGGTCCAGTCACAGTGGGTCCAGTCACAGTGGGTCCAGTCACAGTGGGTCCAGTCACAGTGGGTCCAGTCACAGTGGGTCCAGTCACAGTGGGTCCAGTCACAGTGGGTCCAGTCACAGTGGGTCCAGTCACAGTGGGTCCAGTCACAGTGGGTCCAGTCACAGTGGGTCCAGTCACAGTGGGTCCAGTCACAGTGGGTCCAGTCACAGTGGGTCCAGTCACAGTGGGTCCAGTCACAGTGGGTCCAGTCACAGTGGGTCCAGTCACAGTGGGTCCAGTCACAGTGGGTCCAGTCACAGTGGGTCCAGTCACAGTGGGTCCAGTCACAGTGGGTCCAGTCACAGTGGGTCCAGTCACAGTGGGTCCAGTCACAGTGGGTCCAGTCACAGTGGGTCCAGTCACAGTGGGTCCAGTCACAGTGGGTCCAGTCACAGTGGGTCCAGTCACAGTGGGTCCAGTCACAGTGGGTCCAGTCACAGTGGGTCCAGTCACAGTGGGTCCAGTCACAGTGGGTCCAGTCACAGTGGGTCCAGTCACAGTGGGTCCAGTCACAGTGGGTCCAGTCACAGTGGGTCCAGTCACAGTGGGTCCAGTCACAGTGGGTCCAGTCACAGTGGGTCCAGTCACAGTGGGTCCAGTCACAGTGGGTCCAGTCACAGTGGGTCCAGTCACAGTGGGTCCAGTCACAGTGGGTCCAGTCACAGTGGGTCCAGTCACAGTGGGTCCAGTCACAGTGGGTCCAGTCACAGTGGGTCCAGTCACAGTGGGTCCAGTCACAGTGGGTCCAGTCACAGTGGGTCCAGTCACAGTGGGTCCAGTCACAGTGGGTCCAGTCACAGTGGGTCCAGTCACAGGGGGTTCAGCGAGTTCAGCAAGTGGCGGAATCAGTGCGGGCATATAGGCGTGCAGTTGTGCAGGGTGCTCCAGTGCCGCTGGGGCAGGGCAGGCGTACCTTCACCCATGGCTTTAATTAACCTCGTGCCTCTCTTCATTTCAGCTCCTCTCTCCGCCTCTCTCCTCTCTCTCTCTCTCTCTCTCTCTGCCCTCTCTCCTCCTCTCCTCTCCCTCTCTCTTGCTCTCTGCCTCTCTCTTCACCCCACCCCTCCCCCCCAACAGCATGTTGGACAAGTTTGGCAAGTTCAGCGAGTCCCTGGTGCGAGTGTACACGAGGCAGCTGCTGCTGGGGCTGGAGTATCTGCACGGCTGCAAGATCATCCATCGAGACATCAAGGCGGCAACGTGCTGGTCGATCGGGATGGGGTCATCAAGCTTGCGGATTTTGGGGCCTCCAAGGTGAGTCTTTTAGGGCGGTCAGGGGGGCGGAAGGGTTAGGAGGAATGCAGGGCGTGCAGTGCCAAAGAGGGGCCGGGGCGAGTTGGGAGGGGGGTTTAGGGTGAGTGGGATGGGATGGTGTGGTGCTGCTGCTGGGGGCCGGAGTATCTGCACGGGTGCAACAAGGGCGACAACGTGCTGGTCGATCGGGATGGGGTCATCAAGCTCACTGATTTCGGTGCTCCCAAGGTGAGGGGCAGAGGGATTCTATTGTGGGGGGCCTTTGTGGCATCTCCAAAGCCTCCAAGGTGAAACATGGAGGGCTGTTAGTGGCCAATGGGAGGCGGGCGAGTGGGGCGTGTCAGCTTTGATCTGGAGGGAGAGGAAGAGGGAGTGGAATTAGGGAGAGGTATAGAATAGAGGGAGGGGCAAGATGAGAGAGATGAGGAGGGAACGGAAGAAGGGAGAGTGGGACGAGCAAGGGAAGGGGAGCGACAGGGCCAGTCAGCAGCAAGGAGAGGGGGGGGGAATGTGTGATGATTGAGGTATTTTGAAGTAACAATCAGAGCCAACGGTGTTATCCCAGTGGAGGTAACCATGTTATCAAACCCCCCTGACACCCCCTCTTCTTCGCCCTGTATACGGTTACCTCCACTGAGATAACACCGTTGGGTCTGATTGTTATTCCAAAATACCTCAATCATCACACATTCCCTCCTCTTTTTGCTGCTGACTGGCCCTGCAGCTACCCTTCCCTCACCCGTCCCACTCTCCCTCCTTCCGTTCCCTCCTCTTCTCCCTCATCTTACCCTTCCCTCTCCCTTATACCTCTCCCTAATTCCACTCCCTCTTCCTCTCCCTCCAGATTGATGCTCCCCCATGTTTCTTAGGCATTTCCCCAGGGCACGGTGGGCGAGGGGTGTAAGAGCATACGCGGGTCGGTGTTCTGGATGGCACCCGAGGTCATCAAGGGGGAGGGATACGGCCGCCACCCCCTTCCTACTCCTGCCCACTTATTTCCCTTCCCCTGCCTTCCCCCTTCCCCCTTCGTTCCCACCCAGGCGTTTCACGAGGGCACGGTGGGTGAGGGGTGCAAGTCGATCCGTGGTTCGGTGTTCTGGATGGCGCCAGAGGTCATCAAGGGCGAGGGGTACGGCCGCCGTGCTGACATCTGGAGCCTCGGCTGCACTGTCATTGAGATGCTCACCGGCAGGTGGGTGGGTGCAGTCTAGCTGGGTGTAGCTGGGTGTAGCTGGGTGTAGCTGGGTGATATCTGGAGCCTCGGCTGCATGTCATTGAGATGCTCACCGGCAGCTGAGGGGTGGGGAAAGGATTAGGTTTTCACCTAGATTTTCACGATAGGTTTTCACGATAGGTTTTCACGATAGGTTTTCACGATAGGTTTTCACGATAGGTTTCCACCTCGGCTCGCCTAGGCTTTCACCTAGGTTTTTCACCTAGGTTTTCACGCTATAGGTTAGGGGTTTCACCTTCTGCTCTCTCTGTCACCCAACCAACTCCACTCAATTCCCTTCTCACTCCTTCCTTCCACCAGCAACCCATGGCCCAGCATGGACAACACGTGGTCGGCCATATTCCACATCGCCAAGACCAACTTTTGTCCTTTCGAGAATTCTCGAAAGTGACTCCCAAAAGTGACTTTTGAGAATTCTCAGAAGTGGTCGGCCATATTCCATATCGCTAAGACCACCTCTTGATGTTTCTCCCTGCTCCCTGCCTGTCCGCATCTCCCACGTCACCCTCTCTCTCTCTCACCCAACCAAACCCCCCTCACCCACTCTCCAGCCACCCGTGGCCCAACATGGACAACACGTGGTCGGCCATATTCCACATCGCCAAGACCACCACAGGCCCGCCCATCCCAGAGGAGTGCAGCGAAGAAGGCAGGGACTTCCTGGCTGCCTGCTTCAAGCTTGACCCTGGCGAACGCCCCTCGGCCACTGAGGTGAGTGGGTGTGTGTGTGAGTGAGTGTGGGTGTCTGTAGGTTTATAAGGTGTGTGGATGTGGGCCGCCCATCACAGAGGAGTGCAGCGATGAGTGAAAGGATGTCCTTGCTGCCTGCTTCAAGCTCGATCCTGGGGAGCGCCCCTCTGCGACGCGACAGAGGTGAGTTGCCTCTGTTGTGTGTGGATATGTGGGTTGGTCAGTATTTGGGTGGGTGTGTGGATATGTGGGTTGGTCAGTATTTGGGTGGGTGTGTGGATATGTGGGTTGGTCAGTATTTGGGTGGGTGTGTGGATATGTGGGTTGGTCAGTATTTGGGTGGGTGTGTGGATATGTGGGTTGGTCAGTATTTGGGTGGGTGTGTGGATATGTGGGTTGGTCAGTATTTGGGTGGGTGTGTGGATATGTGGGTTGGTCAGTATTTGGGTGGGTGTGTGGATATGTGGGTTGGTCAGTATTTGGGTGGGTGTGTGGATATGTGGGTTGGTCAGTATTTGGGTGGGTGGGTGTGTGCTCTGCTACCTTTGAGTTTGCTGTGCAGCGACGAGGGCCGCGACTTCCTGGCTGCCTGCTTCAAGCTCGACCCAGGGGAGCGCCCCTCTGCGACCGGGGTGAGGGGGTGGGGGGGGGGGCTGTGTGCTGCGTTGAGCTTGATTGAGCAGTGACGAGGACAGGGACTTCCTGGCTGCCTGCTTCAAGCTCGACCCAGGGGAGCGCCCCTCTGCCACTGAGGTGAGTGGATGTGCGCACGGTGGTGTGTGGGGGGGTGTGAGCCTGTGTGCAGCGTTAACCATGATTGTGCAGCGGTAACCATGATTGTGCAGCTTCCTGGCTGCCTGCTTCACGCTCGACCCGGGAGAGCGCCCCTCTGCCATGTTGGTGTGACTTTTGAGAATTCTCAAAAGCCACACCAACGAGGTGAGATGTCCGTGTGGGTCCGTGTGGGTCCGTGTGGGTGTGTGTGGGTGTGTGTGGGTGTGTGTGGGTGTGTGTGGGTGTGTGTGGGTGTGTGTGGGTGTGTGTGGCTGTGAGCATGTGTGCTGCATCGTACATCGCTGGGAGGGCCGGAACCTCCTCGCCGCTTGATTCAAGCTCGACCCCGCACAGTTCCCCTCCCCCCCCCCTCCCTCCCTCCCTCCCTCCCTCCTCCCTCCCTCCCTCCCTCCCCCTCCCTCCCTCCCTCCCTCCCTCCCTCCCTCCCTCCCTCCCTCCCTCCTCCCTCACTCACCCTATCACCCACTGCGCCCCACTTCACCCCGTTATCCCGCCCCTCCTTCCCCTGAGCAGCTACTGCAGCACCCCTTTGTGCAAGTGCCCGACACTCCAAGGGAAGCTCGGGGGGGGTTCTGACGGACCCACCCGCCACCTGCCCACTTCTGAGCCGCACTTACCGCACCGCACTGAACCCATTGAGCTGATTACAACAGAAACACTGCGATTCTTGAGTGTAGTAGCGATTCAATGCTTGGGGAGGAGGGAGGGAGGAGGGAGGAGGGAGGAGGGAGGAGGGAGTAGGGAAGGAGCAGGAAGAAGTGGGTTTGGAGATGCCCACCCGCCGTCACCCTTCCAGCCTTGGCCCACGTGTGTGCTGCACAGAAGTAAACTCATTGGAAGCAATTGGAGATGTCTCCAAGGGGGTTGGTTTGGGGCTCTCATCTACTGGATGGCCTTTGGGTGTACTTGGGCAGTGGGTGGGCACACAGCACTGCACAGCACCGCACTGCACACCGCAGCACAGCACAGTACAGGAATGTTCAGCTTCACTCTCCACAACCTTGCCTCTTCAGCCATCTCTCTCTCTTTCACATCCTTGTTCCCATCCTGCATCTACTGCTCTTTCATTGCATTGCACCGTCCCCAGCTTCGTTTGGGGCTACTTGGTCGGGTGATCCTGTCAGTCTGCCTTGCCTTGCTGAAGCTGCGCTGCTAACCTGCGAGTTACCGAACCTATTCTGCCGACCCTGCTTTCCATTGCCGAGCTTGACTGGTTGAGTTGAGTCTCCCTGACCATGTCTGTTGTCTCTTGCCTTGATTTGTTGTCTGGCTACTTCTGATCCTTGGCTTGCCGCCAACCTTGTTTGCGCAATACTGAGCCCCTAACGTATGCAGCTTACCGATAAAACTGCAGATTGTTTCCTCTGTATCGGTAGAGTTGTTTTATATCTCTTTTGTATACTTGTGAATACAATAATTGAATTCTCTCATCACTGGGGTTTGCCAAAGTTGAAAGCTTGTGCAATCTGGGCCAACGGTTTTAAAAGTTGGCACCTCCGCTGCATGCGAATATCGAGTCCACCATGTCGAGTATGGATGGAGCGCAATGACGAACCGCTCGAAGTACCTAAAATTGATAGTCTGCCGTTGAACCAACTTTTGGGACACATCCTAAATACCTCTGCACAGGCCACATCCCCGTCGTCCTCCTCGTTTTTCCCCTTGAAAAGCCTGTCAGTCCCGGTGGTAGCCCTCTCCGTTTTATCCGCACTCCTCTAGTGCTCATTCTCGTTTTGAGACGTCCCAGAACTCGTGGTAGCCCTCTCCGCTTCACCCGTGCTCATCTAATGCTCGACTCTTGCACCTTTTGCCCTGGCTCATTCGCGGACCCCTTACCGTCTATTTCCTTGCCATGCGCTGCCAGGATTCTGACACGTGTCCGAAGCTGTTACCCAATCCTTCGCGATTGCTCTGGTGGGACGAGGGTTCGTGGCAACGGTCGTTCCAAACCCTTCGTGGCTGAACGTTCCAGGAGACTCTTAGCGGAATTCAGTAGTTCGAAATTTCTTAAATCGAATTCGAGTAGGACGCTCGGTTACTCGCATGAGAGCTCGCTGCTGTTCGTTACTCCTGTCGTTCGGCGTACTGTCGGCCCCCCACGAAGCTCAATTTGCGATTCAAATCGGTGCAGAGCGGTGACTCAGCTCCTTCGCAACTCGGAGCCTCGATCTTCTGCTAATCCAAAACGCCGACAATCTAGCCTCGTTTCGCTCTTATCGAAAACTCTCAGGGATCGGCCTGGCCGGAAACCGTTATCGAAACAGCTCTTAGCGGGGATTTCCGCGTCTGGACCTGCTGGCAGTATGAGCGTATCGGACGAGCCTGATCGTGCGCCACGTGGCAAGCAGGAGGAGGTGACACGTGTCTACGTGGTATCAGACATTCACACGGATCACGCGGAAAACATGAAGTGGGTGGAACGACTGGCGGCGACACGTCAGAGGTCGGAAGGTCCTAGGAAGGGGCGAGATATACTCATACTGGCAGGCGATGTTACGGACAATCTCGAGGTCAGGTGGGTCGTCAGGTGGGTCGTCAGGTGGTTATTATGATAATTCTCAGGTGGAAAATCAGTTGCAGTAGGATCAGGTTGGGAGTTCTCTTGCAAGTCATCAACTGACTCGTCAGGAGAAATATCAGGCGAGTTGTCAGGTAAATCATCAGGTGAGTCCCCAGGTGCAGATGGATTATCAATTGGAGCAGCAGTCACTCTCTCCCGTCCCTCCAGTCAGCCACTCTCTTATCTACTCGCCTGTCTCTCCCTCTAAACCACTCGCCTGTGTTAATCGCTCCATTCAAATCCCTCTGCTTTTGCTGCTCGCTTCCGTGCCTCCCAGGTCCTCTCGCGCACATTCCAGCTGCTGACGTCAGCGTTCCAGCACGTGTTTTTCATCCCTGGTAACCACGAGCTCTGGTGCCGCCATCACGACCACCACAACCACCATAGTCACAATGACCACCACAACCACCACGACCACCACAACCACCATACTCACAATGACCACCAAACCCACCATAACCAGTACACTCAGCACAGTCAGCACTCGCAGCCCACGCAGCACAATGCAGGGGGGAAAGGAGGCGAAATGCCAGCCTCCATTCAACCATCTTCGTCCGTACCGCCCTCCCCCGAGCTGTTCACCTCCCTGCACAAGCTGACAAAGGTGCTACAGTGCTGCGAGCGGTGGGGCGTGCACACAGAGCCCATGCGGGTCGGCAACGTTTGGATTGTTCCGCTCTGGTCATGGCACCATCAGGTAACAGGGCGCGGGTGGAGAAGGGATGCTCATGGATGGATGCGAGCTGACTTTTGAGTCGACTCAAAAGTCAAAAGCATGGCACCATCAGGTAACAGGGCGTGTTTTGAGACGTCTCAAAAGTCATCAGGTAAGAGGGCGCGGGTGGAGAAGGGATGCTCATGGATGGATGCGCCTCCTTGCTCCGTTTTTCCTCGTGCTCCCACTGCTTGCACGCCCTTCTCTCGTGCTCCCACTGCTTGCACGCCCTTCTCTCTTCATTCCTGTTCTCCCCATCGTGTGCTGACTTTTGAGTCGACTCAGAAGTCACCACCTAACATGTGCTCTTCTGTGTGCTCTTCTGTGTGCTCGCCTTTGCAGAGCTTCGACACCGAGCCTGACATTCCGAACCTCCGACTACCATCACTGCGAAAGGTGGGCGACCCATTCGACGCGCACCTCTCCTTCCCCTTCCCCCTGCTCCCCTCCCCCCTGCTCCCCTTCCCCCTGCTCCCCTTCCCCTACTCCTCTTCCCCCTGTTCCGCTTCCCCTGCTCCTCTCCCCCCTGCTCCCCTCTCTTCATTCCAGCGCCGGTGTTTACCTTTGTTCGGCTGTGTTTGCCGCTGTTTGCCGCTGTTTGCAGCTGTTTCCCGCTGTTTGCCGCTGTTTGCCGCTGTTTAACGCTGTTTGCCGCTGTTTGCCGCTGTTTGGCGCTGTTTGCCGCTGTTTGCCGCTGTTTGCCACTGTTTGACGCTGTTTGCCGCTGTTTGACGCTGTTTGCCGCTGTTCACCTCCGATCCCAACCTTGCTGCTCCCCTACAGGCCTGCATGGACTACCGAGTGTGTGTCTGGCCGCCCCACCTCACCCCTTCCCACTCCCCTCCTCGCTCACCCTCCTCCTCCTCCTCCGCACCACACCTCACCGCACCACACTCCTCCTCGCCGTCTCTTCCTTGGGGTGACGGAGGAGATGCGTTGGCAGCCCATTTTGACAGCATGAATGAGCGGCCGCTGCAGCAGCTGGGAGTACAGCACCCTCACGTGTTTCCTGTTTTGGTGGTGGCAGCAAAACAGGAACAGAAGGCAGAGCAGCAGCAGAAGAGGGCAGAACAGCAACAGCGGGTGGCTTCACAGCAGCAGCAAGTGGCAGCACAGCAGCAACAGAAGGCAGCACAGCAACAACAGGAGGCAGCACAGCAGCAACAGAAGGCAGCACAGCAGCAGCAGATAGCAGCTCATCACACCCTTGTGTTGGCTGCTGCTGCTGCTGCTGCTGAAGCTGCCGCCACTACCACCAGCACCACCACCAACACTGCCAGTGCCAGTGCCAGTGCTGCCAGCTTTGGAAGCACCGCCATCATTGTCAACAGCAGCAACACAGCTGCTATTAACGGCAACAGCAGTTCCCAAGTTGCTCAGAGCAGCAACAGCACAGAACACAGCACAACAAACAGCAGCCACACCACCAGCAGCACCATAAGCAGCACGAGCGCATCTGCTCCTATCTCGCCCCGTGCAGCTGAGAGCAGTGCTGCTCTGCCACTGGGTGGCAATAGTGCAGAGGGTAGTGGTGCGTATGGTAGTGGTGCGGATGGTAGTGGTGCGGAGGGGAGTGGTGCGGAGGGGAGTGGTGCAGAGGGGAGTGCAGAGGGCGTTCAGATCATTTCCTTCTCTCACTTCCTTCCCAGGTGTGCATTTTTGTATCTTCGCCTCGATGTATGCTGCTGTGCTGCTTCGGGTTTACGGTCTCCCAACCTTACGGCTGTTTCTTCCTGAGCACCTTCCAACCCCTTCAAAATTGACTTCCAGGGCGCATGCTTTTACCTAATCCCTTTAGATTCGATTTGCTCCTCGCGACGTGTGTGTTCGAAGCTGATTCGCTCCTTTTGCCTCTCCCATCCACCCCACCCTGTTCCCTCCTCCTCCCAACACCCTCAGGATTGATCTGCTTCCCGAGAAGCGCATGCTGCTGTATCCGAATCTCGCCAAGATGGCAGGCTCCCATCGGCTGGAGGCGCGTGTGCGCGCCGTGCACGGGCCACGTGGCAGCCCCACAGCATGCCACGTGTTTGGACACACGCACTTCCACTGGGACTCGTGGGTCGATGGCATCAGGTGAGTGGGATGGCATCAGGTGAGTGGGATGGCATCAGGTGGGTGGGATGGCATCAGGTGAGTGGGATGGCATCAGGTGGGTGGGATGGCATCAGCGTGCATGGTTGCACGGCATCATGCAGCCATGCAGCTAAGCACCTCTTGTGCCACTCCAAGTTGCTACCTCACAAGGCTGATTATTCCCCTCCACGTTGTCCCTGTGAGCAGATACTTGCAGGCCCCTCTGTGCTACCCCCGGGAGAGAGAGCGAAGACGACAGGCTGCTAAAAGTAGCAGCAACGAAAGCAGCAGCAGCAGCAGTGCTAGTGTGAAGCAGAGCGCAGATGATCCCTGGCTGCCGTTTCTGCTGTACGATTCGTCCACAGGCGGACTGAAGACGAGTTTGCTGCAGAGTCATTGGTCCAATTATTATCGGATGAACCCGAGGCAACCGGAGGTGACTGAATTGGCACCTTGGGTCGCAGCAAGATATGCAGGTAGAATGCGGGTTGCTGGAGGAGGGGAGATTGGCAGTTGAGTTTTACATCATGCATCCTATAACAGTAGGATGTACCACAGATGAACTGGAGGTGCAAAACGTCTCGGGCGTTTTGTTTTGTGAAACGTACTCATCTTCCTAAGTTACATTGTTCCATGAGATTATGAAGTTGAACATTGAAGAAACTAGCAGAATGGCATTGATTGGTGTGTGCATTTCCTGCATGTTTGTCATTGGGTCATAAGCTTGGTCATCGTATTTGTCATGTGCTGTACATCCTATCCAAATGCACTTTTGTTGTAAATTCCCGTGTCTAGCGGCGCGGCGACAACCAAAGTTGGAGGTGGTATCCGAGAGGGGTAGGGCTTCAGAGAATGCACCAATCACGGAAGACGATCCAGTCTCTTTGAGATTATCTGATGGCTTGCCTGACCTAGGTGGCGGCTTACATTTAGGTTTGGACCAGAATTCTGTCGATATGCCGGCCCCAGACTTGACCTGGACGGCTTTGAAAAGGATGAGGTTCGGCATAACGCTTGGGTAGTGCTTTGTTCCGAACACCTGGACACACAAACAGGGCTGTCGATTGGTTCCAGGCCAACACTTGAGAGTCTGAGGTGCCCGTATTTCAGCCCTGAAATCTCCGGGAAGTGTCCTTTTCCGAGCCTTTAAGCGTCCGGGAAAGCACCCAACCAAAAACTTAAATTCAGGGCTACACTACAACAATCAGGGCAAACTCTATACAACAAAAAACTAATAAAGGCAGAGTTCATTTAGAACTGCAATCTACCTATCTACTTTCTCAACACTAATAACTAAGTGGCAGGCTTGCGGCGCTTCTCCCCGTCGAAGATCTGGTACACACCTCCCGAGCCCACATCGTAATCTAGCATTTTCACGGTAGGATGGGATAGGATGGGATGAGATGGGATGGAAAGGGAAAAACGGGAAGGGAGAGGGTTGGGAGGGGGGGGGGTAGGAAGGGCTGTGAAATTTTCCGGGTAAGGCCGGAAACTTCCGCGGGGAATCAGGAAAACCCTCCAAGAGGCCCCTGTAAGAATCAGGGGAAGGCCCAGCCCACGCCCGTTATCATTCCGGGCTGTACAAAAAATCAACCCTGAGAATCTGGACTTTGGGGCAAAGTCAGACCTTAATGTTCAGGGCATTAAGGCCATATGCCCTTGAATCGACAGCCCTGCACACAAACTCCAGTGCGCGACACTATACGATTTGCCGTTCCCTGAAAGTAGTGATGCAGCAATTTCATCTCTTGTCGCAAAGCGTCGCATCAGTGTGGGAAAGGCGCCGACGTTTCTGAAGTTACCAAACTGAATTGAGTGGATAAGATCGGCTGGAAAAACAGATTCGACAAACGATCCAACGGTTACCGTCTCTCCTTCCTGCCCTCGCGAGATTTCCGGAGACTGACGAAGCAGCGGCAGCAACATCGCACCAACAACTCCCGAGAAACCGAGCAGGTGCAGGGAAGCGAGAAGCAGCAAAAAGGAAGAAAGCATCAGCATGCTTTACATCGGTCGAGGCTGATTTGGTTCGGTGAAAAATGCTTTTGTTTCGGCAAGTTCTGACAGAAGTTGGAAAGAGCAACTTGGCCTGCCTAGCTTTTTGCCAGCCTGGTGGGACGCAGGCTGACTTGGAGCCCGCACAACCACAAGCAAGAAAAGGCTGCAAAACATCCATCCTTCCCCTGATCCAGTATATCAACACACGCATTCAGCTCAGCAGTTAGGGATTTGACACTGTTGTATTGCTTCGTTCACTATCCGTCGTAGTTCTTTACTCGTTGGTTTTGGGCCAGGATGGGTTGGTTCACGAGTCAATCCACATCCGCACTGGTCTCCGTCCAGAGAGCGTTCGGGAGACACCACGGACGGAGCAGCGATGGACCAGATCCCGAAACAGCCGCCGATTCGCACGGCGGTCGCCAAGTCGCCGCTTTATCGCCCGGTCGAAGCATGGTTCACAGCTCCGAGTCCCTGGGACAAGCCAGTCGCGGATCGCTGATGGAAATTTCTTCCGACATGGGAGACAATTCTCCATCGAGGGATTTACCCGAGGATGGGAGCAGACGCTCGTCGGTCTCCGAGGCTGCAGCTGAAGGCACTCCGGAGGAAGAGGAGGAGAAGCAGCGTCTCCTGGCCGGCTGGCGTCGCGTGCCGCACAACAAGTCGCTCGACGACCTACACTCGTCCGTCTACGTGCCGCCTCCCGAATCGGCCTGGTACTACAAGCTCTTCGCGTTCACCGGCCTGGGATTCGTCGTCAGCGTGGGATACATGGACCCTGGGAACTGGGCGACGGACATTGCGGGAGGGTCGTCGTTCGGATACACGCTGCTGTTCGTCGTGCTCATGTCTTCCATCTGCGCTATGTTCCTCCAGAGCCTGTCCCTAAAACTCGGCGTCGTCGGAGAGAGGGACCTCGCGCAGGCCTGTCGCGACGCGTACCCGCGCTACGCGAATCTTACTCTCTGGATTCTCGCCGAAATTGCCATCGCCGCTACGGACCTCGCGGAAGTGATCGGATCCGCGACCGCCATGTACCTTCTCTTCGGCTTACCCCTGTGGATAGGCATTCTTATCACGGGAGCCGATTGCCTCCTTATAGTCTTCCTCGGCGCCCGCAGCGCGCGCGTGCTGGAGCTGCTGATCTTCATTCTCTGCGCTTTAATCGCCGCGTGCATGACGTACGAGTTGATTGCGGTGCGTCCCGACTGGGTCCTGGTCCTGAAAGGGTTCATTCCGTCAGGCCAGATCTTCACCAATCCTGACGTGCTATACGCGGCCGTGGGTATCCTGGGAGCAACGGTCATGCCGCACAACCTCTACCTCCACTCGAGCATCATCCAGACGCGCAATTACAGCCGCACGGCCGAGGGCAAGCGCATGGCCGTCCGTTATGGCACTTGGGACTCGTGCCTGTCGCTCTTCGTCGCGTTTTTCGTGAACGCGGCGATTCTGATCCTCGCGGCCGCCGCTTTCTACTACAACGCGTCGGGCCAGCAGACCGTCGCGGATATCAGCGACGCGTACCATCTCCTCGCGCCCGCCATTGGCGACACCGCCGCGCGAATCCTCTTTGGCGTCGCGCTGCTGGCCAGCGGGCAAAATTCGACCATCACGGGAACCCTCGCGGGTCAGATTGTGATGGAGGGGTTTGTGGATGTGAAGCTTCCGCCGTGGCTGCGTCGCATGGTAACCCGTTGCATCGCGATTGTTCCTGCTGTAATCGTAGCTGCTATCAGTGGCATGGAAGGCGCTGGGAAGCTTCTGGTGCTGAGCCAGGTGATTCTGTCGCTGCAGCTGCCGTTTGCCATTGCGCCACTGGTGCATTTCACATCGTCCCCGGCTCGCATGGGGAAGTTTGTGAATGGGTGGGTGAGCACGATTCTCGCGAGTCTCCTGACGCTGGCCATTATAGGGCTGAATGGCTTCCTTGTGGTGCAATGGGCCATTGGTGGTTAGGGTGGGAGGGGAGGGATGGCTGGGTGTTGGTTGGTGGGTTGGCTGTGTGGCCATTGGTGGTTAGGGTGGGATGGGGAAGTTTGTGAATGGGTGGGTGAGCATGATTCTCGCGAGTCTCCTGACGGTGGCCATTATAGGGCTCAATGGCTTCCTTGTGGTGCAATGGGCCATTGGTGGTTAGGTGGGATGGGATGGTTGGTCGTTGGATTGGATGACGGGATGGCTGGGGGTTGGTTGGTGGTGGTTTGGCTGTCTGGCCATGGTTGCACAATTTTGCAGATAGGTGTGTGAGTGGGTTGATGAGGCATTTGGTTAGGGTAGGAAGGATGGGATGGGATGGGATGGGATGGTCACAGATTCAAGGGTTTTGGCTCACACCTATGCAGTTAGGAGGAGTTGACGGTTGGGGAATAAGGAGTGTGGCGGAGAATGTTGGCCTGTGCTGGTGTGCTTCCTTGAGGAGGTTTTGACTGGCCAAGAGGATCGCAGGTGTCATGCCTTTTTGCTTGACTATACTGGCGTGGTGTTGGCCAGTGATTTCTTTCTAGAAATTGACACTCATGCTCTCTGGTAGTTTTTTGGGGATTCTGTTATGGTATGTGAATGACTTGTAACCCAAACGCAATTTCTAGAATTCAGCCGATGCAAAACACGTTATTGTTGACGTTTGAGCTTCATACGACAAAAACGCGTACGAAATTCCCAGTTCATGCAAGCTGGACCTGCCACGTGTTGATATAATTAGCTAACCATAGCCACACCTTCCTCGCGGCCTCCCCGCATTCTCGCATGCAAGCGAGTTCAGCACCGCGTTACGTGCGAAGAAGCTTGCGGGAATGGTGAGAGCGGCAGCGCGGCGACGTCGTCGCGTCGCGTCGCTGCAAGCTGGACGATGGACGCAGCAGAAGCAGCCTCGTTCGTTCGTGCCGCAGGCAAGGGTGCGGCAATGGTGCGGCAACCGCGAGGGTGCCACAGGAGAGAGAGCTGGGAAGATCAGTGAGGGTTTCGTCACTCGGCCCGCTTGAAAGCTCCTCCTCGCCTCACTGCGTGCAGAGATGGTTCGCGATTCTGCTAGCTCGCCGCGAGGAACGATCGCCGCAGGAGATAGGCGCGAAAGGAAGAGTAAGGATCGCGAGGGCGTGCCGAGGAAGGGAAAGGATTGCGAGGTCTTGACGAGGAAGGGAGCCGCTTCTACCGCAGCGTCGGTTGAGAGAGGAGAAGGATCGGTGGAGAGCGGTGGAAGATTCAAGAAGCCAGGGGCTGCGGAGGACGAGGAGGGGGAAGAACGAGGTGACAGGGACAGATCGACGCGCGCGCGGAGGGCGCGTGGCGGAAGGAAAGGGGTGCGTGCGGCGGAACAGGCACGCGGAAGTCGCGGAGAAGAGGAGAGAGCGGCCGACGGAGGGGGTGGTGTGAGGGAGACCGGAGTGGCAAGAGGGGCGCGCGGGGGTGGAGAAACGGGGCGACGAGGTCGCGCGGGTAAGGCTAAGGCGGAACGACGTGTAGGGCGCTCAGAGGAGCGCGAAAGGGGAGCGAAGGGCAGAGGCGGGGCGGAACGAGGTGGGGCGGAAAGCGGCGGGGCGGAGCGGAGCCTGCTGCGCGGATTGCGGCTGGAAGACTTCCCCCCGGCGGAGCAAGGCGCGCTGGTGGCGGAGAGGCAGGCGGAGAGTGAAACACTAGAGGAGGAGGAGGAAGGGGAGGGGGGAGAGGAGGTGCGTGGAGGAGAGGAAGAAGAAGAGGAGGTGGGATTGGAGGGAGGGAGTGAGGAGGGAGGAGGGGAGGCGGTGCAGGAGGAGATTCAGGGGCTGCTGAGGGAGGCGATAGCTGCAGAAGAGGCGGAGGCTCGGCAAGTCGAGGCTCGGCAAGTCGAGGCTCGGCAAGTAGAGGCTCGGCAAGCTGAGGCTCGTCAACTACAGGCGCGGCAAGTTGAGGCACAATCAGCTCCAACTGTAGCGGGGAGAGCAGCGACAGGGGAAGTAACAAGACGAGTGAAGAGGGGTTGGATCGAAGGGGTGAAGGGAAGAGGCAGGGAGGGAAGAGACAGAGAGGGAAGAGACAGAGAGGGAAGGTCAGGCAAGCAGGAGGTTGCAGGGCGGAGAGGCATAGAGGGGAAGGAGGGGGTGACTTTTGAGTCGACTGAAAGGTCTCCTGAAAGCGAGAGGTTAGGCGAGCTGGAGGTTGCAGGGAGGAGAGGCATAGAGGGCGAGGAGGGAGGGACAACGGCAGGAGAGGGAGGGAGGACAGTGAGGGTGGTGACGACGCGGACGCACACAGAGACAGTGCCTGTGTCTGAAGAGCAGCAAGTGGTGACTGTCACAGAGACAAGGGTTCAGCTGCAGGTGCAGCAGGTGGGTGTGGAGTGGGGCGAGGTTGCAGTGAGTGCAGGTGTCGCAGAGGCAGAGGGGGAAGCGCTTGAAGGTGAAGCTACACGTGCCGAGATGGTGGGTGGATCAAATGCTCACGCCGCTGCAGAGCAGCAGCAGCAGTCGCCGCTACAGGAGAGGCAGCCGCGAGCGGCAGCGGCAGTGGCGGCGGCAGCAGGAAACGGCGGCGCAAGGCCGGGTGATTCCACCACTGCTGCTGCTGCATCTCCGGCAACAGGAGCCGCACCAAAGCAACCTCCAGCTGCCTCGCCAGCAGCAGCCGCAGCAGCAGCGCCAAAGCAGCCGACTGCTTCACCAGCAGCAACACCTGCTGGGATTTTAAGAGCCCCAGTGTCGCCCGCTGGAGCGCCAGTGACACCGTCAGCTGCTCCTGCTGTGCCTCCTGCTTGGCGCCTGGACGAGCAGCAACCCAGCGACGCAAGCGCTCTGAACAGGCAGGCCCAAGGGGGCGCTGGGGGCGCTAGGGTGGGCGGGGGCGCTGGGGTGGGCGGGGGGGCTGGGGTGGGCGGTGGCGCTGGGGTGGGTGGGGAGGCGGAGCGGAGTGCAGTGGGCAGGGGGCGGCGGAAGCTGCTGCAGGGCCCCGGGGAGTGAAGCGGCCTGCTGCTGTGATGATCCAGGGGGGGGCTAGCCTCGGTGCGCCCGGTGTGGCGCCCGGTGTGGTGGCTGGTATGGGCGGATCTACTCTCAGCGGCCCTGAGATGATTGGGCTGGGGGGGATGGTGACAGCGATGGACGAGAGAATGATGGAGGTGGTGGTGCGGCATGCGCTGCAGGCGAGAGAGGAGGCGCAGAGGAGGGCCGTGCAGGAGAGTGCGCGGGCTGTGAGGGACATGCGGGGGAAGGTGGAGAGGCGGAAGAGGGAGGCGCGGCGGATGGAGGAGGAGAGGGATGAGCGGCTGAGAGAGATGGAGGACGCAGTTAAAGAGCTGGTATGTGGGAGCTTTGCAGGTATGGTCTGGTCTGAGTAAGAATAGACGCATGCTACAAGCTGGTGGTGAGAGGATGATGGAGGTGTGGTGCGGCATGCGCTGCAGGCGAGGGAGGAGGCGCAGAAGCGGAAGGTGCAGGAGAGTGAATGCGCTGTGAGGGAGTTGCGGGGACGGGTGGAGAGGAGGAAGAGCCTATGTTTGAGTCGACTCAAAAAAAGCGGAAGGTGCAGGAGAGTGTACGCGCTGTGAGGGACATGCGGGGACAGGTGGAGAGGAGGAAGAGGGAGGCGAGGCGGATGGAAGAGGAGCGGGATGAGAGGCTGAGGGAATTGGACGACGCGGCAAGGGAGAGCTGGCTCTGAAGGTGCCGTATCAAGGCTCCTTGTGTATCAAGGCTCCCATCCAAAACCGTGTGTCTAATCTCCTTGTGCCCTATACGCCATGTGGTGTATTGTGTTGTGCCTTCCCCTGTGCAGTGGTAAGGCAGGAGAGCCTTGAAAGGGCGTATATCATTTTGTGGTGCCTTGGTAACCTCTCATCCGCTTTCAGTGTGCGTCTCTGTGCCTGGGTACCCTGTGCCCCAATCTTGTGTGGTGTGTGCTGTCCATCGTGCAGGTGGCGAGGGCGGAGAGCCTTGAGAGGGCGGCGAAGGAGGCGCGAGGGGTGGCAGAGAGGGCAGAGCGGGACAAGGCAGTGCAGGAGGCGAAGATCAGAGCGAGCTATGAGGTGCGCTGGGGAGCCGTGTGTGTGGGGGTTTGGGGGGCAACGGGGGCTAGTTGGGATTCTGTGTGTGTGGAGGGTGGCACAGAGGGCAGAGAGGGCAGAGAGGGCAGAGCGGGACAAGGCAGTGCAAGAGGCGAAGATCAGAGCCAGCTACGAGGTAGGCTGGCGTTGGTGTGAGTGTGCGGGGGGGCGCGTGTGGGCTGTGTGTGGTGGGCACGTGAAGGTTGTGCGACGAGTATTGGGGGTTGAAGGTAAGGGAGGAATGGCCACGTGTATAAAGAAGTGTTTTGAGTCGTCTCAAAACACTTCTTTACATACGTGTGGGGGGTTGGAGGTAAGGGAGGAATGCGGGAAAAGGGGGCGTTTGTTTTTTACCACGTGTGTGCTCGTGTCCACTTGCCTTTCCCTTCCCCATGCCCGCTCATCCTCTTCTGTTCTTTTCTCATGCACACCCAAATGCACACACACCTCTCATCTTCCTTTCTTCTTTGCTCGCACACACACGTAGGCTCTACTGGGGAACGACAAGGAGGGGGACGCACTGGCAGAGGCAGAGAGGCAGCTGGAAGCACAGCAGGCAGAGCTGCAGGAGCTTCAGGCCAAGCAGACGGCTCTGGCGGACGACCTCAAGGCCAGGTTCTGGAGCACTGTGAAGAGCGAGCTGTATGACCAGACCAGGGCCCGTAGGGAGGGATGATGCAGGCTCGCATAGCTTGTAGCGTCTGTAGAGGCACCTTAGACAACCTCAAGGCCAAGTGCTTTTATGTGACTGTAAACATTGCACATCTGCACATTTAACTAGCTGTAGTACCTTCTCCGTTCTTCCTGGCTATCCATTTTGCCAGATTCTGAAGTTTAGCAATTGTAGAAACCCCATTTCGATTCGAGAGAATCGCTCGTTCATTTCTATCCTACATGGGTTTCACGACTTTTATTACAGCTGTTTTCTTGTGCATATTTGACATTTCTTTTTTTCTGTACACTTTTGATCTCTCCACCTGGATTGTGCAATTTCAGATCGTTCCACCGAGTCGTTGGTGAGAACGTGACTGGGGAAATGTGACGCCATAGGACACACCCTGGCGGCAGGTGGTTCCGTTCCATTTGACCTGGGTGGCTCACGTTCAACGCAGGCCATAGCCTGGCGAAATAAGGTGAGCCGCGCCTGACGAAAATAAGGCGAACCACGAATTGGTACAATGAAAACGTAAGCGAAGTAACTGCACCCTTCATTTACTCGCGACTGAAGTTGACGAGCTCTGCAAGTTGCGACTAAAGTTTCGCAGCTAGCCTTGGCGAAACACTCTCACATCCGTTTGAAAGGGCTGGCGAAAACATCTCTTACACTACCACTGGTCACTCACCTCTCACCCATCCTCCATTTCGTTTCGTGCACGATTTCCTCCATACCTAATTAGGGTTCGACAAGACCTTTTCCTTAGTAGTAACCCTAGAAGCGCTGGTCGAGTAGTAACCGCACATAGCAGGCGTAGTTAGCGACGGCGTGCACGGCGAGCGACGCCGTCAGATGCGGCGAGAATGTCCGATGGACTGCTCGGCTTCGCTCATCTCAACAATCGCCCCAGCGAGTCAGGCTGGCAATCAGACAGCTCCACACCGAAAGAGTCTAAGGTTTTCACAACATGCACGACCGTTTTAGGGCCGCTACTAGAGGGTTACCCGCCGGACTCGTCCGCGAAGCACGAGGATGCGGCAAAGCACTCGTTTAGTCTTAAGAAGCTGTTTGGAGCAAAGTCGGGGAAGTCCAAAGAGGAGGAGGCGAAAGCGCGAGACGCGGAGATTAAGTTTGTCTTGCAGGCCGCCGCGACGCCGTTAGCTTCGGTTCCGAAGCAAATAAGTCTGCCTCGACCGACGACTCCCGAACTAACGCAGGTACACTGATCCTGGACAGTTGCGACGGGAATGGCGAGAGTTACCGAAGCTGACAGTATCGCTGCATTTCGCTGCTGGTCGCACATCGCAAGTGATCGTCCATGATAACGGTCTTAGGTCTACAAAGGTGGTTCAATAACGATAACGTTTTTAATTACCGTTTTCGCTTCCTGTGGGTCGCTGCGTCGTTTCGACGTATTTTCTCGCCGCTCAGCCGTTTACATTGTGAACAAAAATCGCCGCATTGCCCGCAAAATAGTTAGATGGTCAGGCAACGTACAATGCGAAGATCGCGTCGGCTAGAACGGTTACTTTCTAGCCGACTGAAATGTCCATGGCCCCTATTTTTTTACGCGCGATCGTTCACTGGGTTCGCATTTTTGGAGCATCCCGAGTAATGTTTCCATGTTCAGTACAACCGTTTTTTGAGACGCCAAAAAAATTATGTGGTGGTTTTCCCATTTTCCGTTTGATATACCCGTTATGCCGTCCCTGCGCGCGCATTGAAACTTTGATCGAAAATGCGGCCCTCTTGGTCCCGTTCTGTCGTCATCACGTTCGCATTGCTTCAATGTTGAGGCACCTTAAGACGGACATGA